CAGGCTTCACATATAAAAGACTTCTCTAGGTGTTAAGAAACTTTTCAGTGTCAAATTGTAAGATTATAATTATGTGACAACATGTTTAAATCTCTTATGTATACTGTATAGCTTCAGTTATTTTCTTTTCCTGCTTAAGCTCTCATTCACACCTGAGCGTTTTGTAGCTTGAAGCTCAAAGCTCCAAAACACTCAACAACCCAAATGCCATGCTTTTTAATGGTGCCTGTCCATATATGAGTGCTCAGGCTCCTGTAGCTCAATGCCTGACACTCAAAATGGTACATGAGCTACTTTTCAAGCAGAACGGGAGTTTTTGGCCCCATGGACTTCATGTAAAACACCAGACAGACTCCTAAAAAGCACCTGAAAACGCAGCATATACCTAAAAATTAGCATTTTTCAAAATTGAAAAACCATCTCCCAGACATTTCAACTCTCCTGGATGTTCTGCGAGTCTCCCGTTATTAGATAGCGGCTCCAAAACACCCGGGAGAGAAACATTTTCACCCGGAAAGGTTAACTCTGCTCGATCTAGTAAGTAAAAAAATATGTGCTGTCTGTATTTTTTTTTTCTGACACCGGGGCCACAGTCAGTCAGAAAAAAAATGGCATAGGAACTAATAGCTAGATTGCTATTGGCTATTGCACCCGCCCACTGCTGCTGTCAATCAGCAGAGGTGGACCTGAAGTTCTCCATCAGGTCCTCCTCTGCTGACTGACTATTCATTCCTATGCTGTTTTTTTTTTCTGATGGCAGCAGCTGTCAGAATACTATGACAGAGGGCACCTCCCTGAAATGAGAAGGGCACCTCCCTGAAATGACTTATTTCAGGTTGGGGTCCCGGATCTCCTTATTACCTAGCTTTCTATCAGCTAAAACAAAAAAGAAACTAAAACAAAAATGGTCAAGCTTGAATATGCCTGAAAAAATGCACAAATAGAAACGCTCCTAAAGCGCCTGTAAACGCTCATGCTCAAGTGTGAATGCAGATTTTAGCATTTTTGTCCCTATAGTCTTCAATGGAAAAGCCTTAAAACATGCATCTCACGAGTTTTTGTGAGCCAAATAAAAAACCGCCTGAAGCTGAATGCCTGCAAACTGCTGAAAAAATGCATTTAAATGCACATAAAAACACTAAAAATGCTTTTAAGAAAACGCCCGAAAACACCAATGCTTAGGTGTAAACAAATCCTGAGCCAAACTCCAGGAATTGTTTTCTTTTTAGAAACACAGTTAAAACATTTACCGTACCTCTAATTAAAGGTGCCCATACACCTTACAATTTATCTGCAGATTTTCTGTGGTCAGATGGAAAAGGTGCAACAGATTCCTCCAGCTACACTTACCTGTGTGGATGGAGTAATCTCCACCTGGGCCAATCTGTTGCACTTTTTCCATCTGACCACAGAAAATCTGCAGATAATTGTAAGGTGTATGGGCACCTTAAGACTACCCTAGTTCCAGGTGGTTGCTGGATACTGCAAAATTCATAGCTGCTTTGATGCCTCATCCCATACACATCGCTATATTTCTGGCAGCATCACAGTGAGTTTTTCACCCACCCTTTTCTCTCCCCTCATTTACTCACAGAAAGCTTTGTATTCTTTTCACAGAATGCGTCTGTGAATATACAAGAGGCGTCTCCTCTCCCCTCGTCTATTTACAGAAGAGAAAAGGAAAGAGAGGGCAAATGAAACAATCCTTTACTATTGCAGCCACAGCTCTTTATCCCTCCAGCGTGGAATATAGTGCTGTGTGTAGGGTCCAGCATCAGAACAGCTATGATTTTAGCAGTAACCAGCAGCTACGTGGACCTCAGAGAGTCTTAGGCTGGGCACACACCTTACAACCATCGCAAGACTTTTGTCTTGCGATGGTTGTAAGGTAATTTTAAAAAAAACGTACGATCTGCCTATCTTGGACAGGCAGATCGTACTTGCGATGATCGCAAACCGCGCCCCCCTGAGGGACGGGCTTCCGATGACCGCAATGCCGAACGGGCAGTGTGCGCTTGCGCACACCGGCCCATCTGGCTTTTATCTTACGAATATGCTACACACCCGCCGAACATCGTACGATGCTCGGCGGGTTTTTCGAACATGTTCCTAAGATAAAAGTTGTGCGACCTTACAGTAGTAGAGGTCGCACGGCTTCCACACACCTTATGATAATCGTACGAACGCGGGATTTCCCGCGATTATCTCAAGGTGTGAGGGCACCTTTAATTAGAGGTAACTTGTTTCACTTGTGTTTAAAAAAAATGAATGTGGCATTCAACTTTAATGATCAGGCCAGATTTAATTATTTGAGAACTGTTAAGGTGCCCATACACTTTACAACCCTTGCAAGACTTTTGCTAAAAACCAGCCGAAAATCGTACTATTCTCGGCTGGTTTTCAAACATGCTCGAAATACAAAAGTCGTGCGACCGTACAGTACAAACGGCCTTCCATACACTGCACGATTATCATACGATCGCGGGATTTCCCGCGATTCTCGTACGAGAATCGTGCAGTGTATGGGCACCTTTAAGCAGTGGACATGCAGAGGCTCCTCAGCAGCCAGCGGTGGCATGGGAGTTGGAGAGGGGCAAGGAGAAGGCTGATACCGGAGGGTGAAGAAGGTCTGGGACACCGGGAGATAACCCCTGGATCAGAAGCAGCGGGTGCATGGAGTTCAGGTTAGTGAAGCACTCCTCTTTAAAAATAGAAAAATGCATGCTGGGGAAAAAAACACAAAACAAAAAAACGATAGTTATTTTTTTTAAATACAGTTGTCATTGTTCACATAGTTACATAGTATTTGAGGTTGAATAAAGACACATGTCCGTCAAGTCCAACCTATTGTTGGTGTGTGTGTGTGTAAAGATCCCTGAGTCATCTCGTTATTAGGAGTACTTGTACCCCTGTATATTACCGTTTCTCAGGAAATCGTCCACATCTGCTGCTAAAAAATTTCTATGTAAAAAATCCAGCTGTCCCATACCAGTGAGCAGATGCTTCTAAATGCCAGACTGCTGTCACATATAACCCATGCCACCCCATACTGCGTGATAGGAAAGTAGTATTTATTGCGTTCTTTACTACTGAACTGTGTGTTTCTTTCTGACCTTTGCACTCTGTGCGTTCCTTACATCTGACCTCTGTGCGTTCCTTACATCTGACCTCTGCACCCTGTGCGTTCCTTACATATGACCTCTGCACCCTCTGTGTTACATACCTCTGCCCTCTGTGCGTGGATGACCCTCTCTTGGAGTGATAGTCTCAAGAACCAGCACACAATGATCTTCCAAAGAAAATCAAACTTTATTCCACATGCATCTACACTGAGTGGCCAGATTATTATGACCACCTGACGTTTGTAGGCAAATTAGCTATAATTAGCGATAATTTCGCGCTGAAGTTGCTAGAGGGCCAGACCATTATAAATAGGGAAGCAGGTTGTTTACCACAACAGTTGCTGCTGTCAATCAGCAGAGGTGGACCTGCAGTTCTCCATCAGGTCCTCCTCTGCTGATTGACAGCAGCAGAGGGCGGGTGCAATAGCCAGCTTGCTATTGGCTATTGCAAATTGATATAGCCAATAGCAATCTAGCTATTCATTCCTATGCATTTTTTTTTGTTTTTTTTTTTATTCTGACGGCAGCAGGTGTCAGAATACTAAAAAACAACCAGCAGATAGCAAGGGATGCATTAGCTTCTTTGCTTATTGCCATTATTTCAGGGCACTTCCCTGAAATTACTTTTTTCAGGTTGGGATCCCTGTGGGTATAGTGCCTATAGTGCAAGACTATGGTGAGAATTGGGCCCTAAGGCTCTGTTCACACCTAGGCGTATGGAATATACGCGTTTGTCACGTGTTTCGTGACGAGTGCTTTTACCGCGATTCGCTGTAAAAACCGCGTGACAAACGCGCGTTTCCGAGGGCTACTTGGCTGTATCACAATGGAAACGCCCGACAAAAACGCCGCAAAGAAGCTCATGTACCTTTTCAGGCGTAGGCCGTTTTGTAGCGCGTTCAGACGGGCTGAAATACGGCAAGGTGTGAACCATACCCATAGAAAACAATGGGATTTTCATGTTTGAGCGTTTTGTAGAGCGTTCGTAGAGCGTTGAACGCACTACAAAACGTACAGGTGTGAACCAGGCCTGAGACCTTCATACCTGCCAATTTTCTGTGTTGTAAAAGAGGGACACATTATATTACAAAGTATGTAAACAAATTACACACCTCTCTCATGCCCATATTATGTGGACAGTGAACGATTTCTATGCAGAAAATGGGTTTTCAAGCCTACAAGTGCTTTTGGTTCAGTACTAGTTTTGCTTTACACGTTTTTTATATAAAATACAGTAATTCAGAAGCTGCATAAAGGGATTTTGTGCTGTTAAGCTTACTATGCACGTTACAATCTTATTGTACAATCTTCATTAGTTCTACAAACAACTATGCAGTGCAAGGGCCTGCCTGATTGGATACAATTTAGTGAGATAAGGTAAGTTCTCATACTACGTATACGACATAGTTTTGGTAAATATAAAGTTAATTGTACAAAGATTCTCCGGTCAGATTACAAAGTGTATCGTGACCCTTGGCACATTTTTTTTTATAGATCTGTACACCAAATAAAAAAAACTAAGTGAAACAATTGAGAACAACAGGGACAAAGGTATCCAAAAGGACATTTGGAATCTAAACCTTCAGTTATTCAGTACCATGCAAGGGTTTTACATTATTATAACTACATAAAATCAAAAACAATATTCAAAATCAGCTTTCAGATTTAGCCCACAGGAAAAAAAAAAAGGGGTATGAGCAGCAAACTAATTTCAGGTCACAAAAACATGATTTATGTCCTTTTTTTGTTGCCTAATATAGATTCCCAACATCGACTCTTAAAAAAGACATTTCCACCAGCCTTACGGCCGGAACCTGATATGGCATGTTTGTTGCTCGCGGAAGACTTTCTGCGTGCACTTCTCAAATTCCGGTTGTCATGGACACGGAGCGAGTCGGAATCGCAGCTGAGCTGAACACCGGTATTCGGGAGGGGGCGGAGCCCTGGATACTGGAGCACCCGCGGGTGAGGATGTGGGCGTGGCCGGTGCCGTATAGGGGGGTGACACGACTTGTCATTGATTGTAGAGGCACTGTACGTGCTTTAGAAGGGGACCTTCTGTGTGCACTCTACAGAGCACGTGGTGTGGACTGTCAGACGTGTTATTATCTCTATGCATGCTACATTAGCTGTAAATAATCCGGTCTTTGTGCTTGTGTTAGTTTTGTAAACTCAACTTCAGACAGTAATAGCTGCAAACGCACGTATGTAAAAAATAAGTGCTTCTTTTCGTGCGCAGAAAACGCAAACGCCATTTAAAGTGCCTGCAGCGGAGGGTTCGTGCTGCGGGACAGAGCTTCCGGTGCACCCCTCTGTACCTGGTTTGACTTTAATAAATCTGGTCATTAAAATATGCATGTGTGAGCCAGCTGCTCTCAGGGCTACGAAACAATGCAGTGCGCTCCAGAAACGTCACAAGAACAGATTGCGTGTTGATGTGCATTTTGATTTAGCATTTTTATATACTGGTCACATCAAGGGTCAAAATATAGTACAAATAAAGTATTTAGGGAAACCAATAACCTACAAATAGCTACCTGCTTCTGTTTTTATTAGATTGACACTTTTGCAGATGTCCATGCGCCTGGGCTTTGCATTCAATGCTGCCTTTTAAAAAAAATAATGTCATCGGGGGACAGTTTTTTCCTTGTTTTCTGTGCTGGTCCACTGATGATGACAGATCTTTCATACGAGATCTGTTGAATAACAAGCTACGCCAGATCTCAATTGGTGCATGCATGAGATCAGATCTTCCTGGAAGTCACTTCAAGATGTAGCCTTCTCAGGGGGCAACTGTGGGTTCTGGGCTGCATCACCAATGCCTAAGAAGACCAGGAAGTGTAAAAATAAAAAAAATCTTTGATTGTACAAATAATTTAGGGATGTGCATACAAAGCTGCATACACTATTGGCATGATTTTAAAAAAAATCCATTGCCCAGAATATAGCCATTCGCACAGCACTACCCCCACAAGATGGAGCATATGATATGGAGCAAAGGTCCACTTTAAAGGAGAACTATGAGGTGAGTGCTATTCACTCATCCTCATAGTTCTAGCCGACCTGGTACAATGAAACTGTCACAGGTTGGCTCAGTGAATCGGGAAGTGAGTGAACACATACCGGCGTTCGCTCACTTCTCGATCCTGTCACGGCTCTGTGCCGTGACAGGTGAGGGATTGGATTCCCCTGTCCGATCCTCCAGCGCTGACTGGCGGAATGGACGGGTGAGGGGGCAGGTACAGCTGGCTCTGCCTCTAGATAGGCAGAGCCAGCTGTCACTCACGCAGCTGGGCGGATCCAGACATAATTGTCGGGATACGCTTCAGTTGCGGCGTCTCAGTATACCGCGAGCTGTAGCTCGCGGTGTACTGAGCTTAGGGTGACGGGAGGACGCTAGTTTGTGTCCTCCCGTTACCCTAAGGAGAACTATGGGGAAAAGCCCTAACCCCATAGTTCTCTTTTTAAGTTCCCATTCACAGGGCTGGAACTTAGGGTAGCTGTACGCAGTTATGGGCATGGAGCCTGTACAAAGGAATGACAGGCTGACAGTGGATGTAATAGCACATGGAGTAGGTACCTGCGCTAAGTCCCCCTTCACACCCAGGCGGTCTGTGACTGGGCACCAAATGGGAAAAAATGCACGCTTTGACGTGTGTTCACAGAATGCATCAAAAACGTGCAATGCACTTGCAGTGCCATTACTTGTCACTGGCACCCAAACGTGGCTCACTTTTCATGCATGTCCGTGCATGTTGAAACACGCACAAACTTGCAGGAGGCCTGTAGAAGAATCTGCTACATGAGCTACTTTCCTGCATTTGTTGCATATGCGGACACACAGCAAATGCAGGAAAAAAAGCGCATGCAAACGTGACACGCGTTCCCAAAATTTTTACGTGTGAACGGGGTGTAGGGGACACATGATCGCCCCTGGATGCAAAAAACTTGTGCCCAAGGTCGACCTTCTTTCCTTAACCGCAGATAATCTCTCCATGTCCTATTACATCTGATCATGTCTGAGTCCACTGTCAGCCTGCCATTGCTTTGCAGAGGCTCCGCGCACACAACTATTCACATCCACCTGTGAATCCAGCCACAGGATCCTTGCCGCAGTTGGCATATTTTGCCATGTAATTGAGGCCTAAGTTTGCGTTATTCAATGAGCCCTATCAGTGCCGGCATTACATTATTAGAGGAAGTTGCCAGCATCACATTATTAGAGGATTTAGGCCTCATTCACACTGCTGTACAATACGCTGCGTATAGATGCACGCAGCTTATTTTTTCCATATGCAAATAAATGGCTCCATACACATAGCTGCGTATGGAGACATATATATTTGTGCTGCGTAAAGATGCGCAAAAACAGAATGGACCCGAGATGCGTATACACACTTGTGCGCGTACAGTACATTAAAATTTCTATTCAGAATTATGCATTCTGGGATTGCATAAAGTGCACGCATATATGCGCATGCATACACGTATATACGCAATATACAATTTTGCTCTTGCCTTGTGTGTGCATGAGGCCTTAGTGCAGTGGTTATTATAGCTGGCCACACATCAGAATTTCATTTTCAGAACATTTGTTTAATTTTCCAAAAGCTAATGAGTTCAAATCAATGATCGTACTCAACTGTAGTGACAACAAAACTCAGCAGGAGCAGGATTTCTCAAAATTCTGACACGGAATGTGATTTTTTTGTTCTGGAAACTCCATTCATTCCAAAATGGAATGTTACAGCCTCCTATACTATCCTAGGAAGGTGCCTTCTCAGCCTCTTTTTGGATTTCAGTTGCCATGGTGCTGCACATGTGATCAGCTATGACACCAGCCATTCGAGGGCTTGAAAGTCCGGTTGAGAGCTGAAATAAGCACACTGGCAACCTTAAAGCCTCGTTTACACTTTTGCATTCCGTGAACGTATGCCAAGCGCAGGAACAATTATGGAATATGTAAAAAATGGCTGCCACTACTGACCTCTCATTTTAACCTTCTGAGTACCAGCCTGCATATACCCCTTCCTTTCCAGGCCATTTTTCATTTTTCAGTGCTGTGATAGTTTGACTGACAATTACTTGTCCATACAACACTGCACCCTAATTAACTTTATATTATTTTAATCAGAGCTTTCTTTTTTGGTGTCTAATATCCACTGGTTTCTTTATTTTTATTATAAAAATGAAAAAGGGTCAACAAAAAACACTGTTTTAGTTCAAATGGCAGTACAAACACCCCTCAAAATGAGCCCTTATTTGAAAGTAGATAACCCAAGGTGATTTTTTTTTACCATTATATTTTAGGAATTAAGTAACATGCTGGGCTTGAGGGGGTTAAAAACAAGGAGCATGCAATGGTGCATTAGATATACTGTATCATTAATGTACAGGTTATACACAGGAGGTCACGGAGTTAGACATACAGGTCACATATAGTGGGAAGAGGATGAGATGAGGGGTTAATGTTCAAATGTGCAGGATAAGGGAGGTGAGGGGTTTTAATACAGGTCACTAGAGAGCATGGGGGAAGGGTGGTGAAAGGGTTACAAAATGATTCCACATTCAGCCCCCCACCCTAAATCTGCTGCTGCCTGTGATCTAGATCTAATGAATAATCATTCACTCAATAGTTTCTTTTTCCTCAGTTGTGAGAGGAAAGGGAGGGCTCTCCAACAGTAGTACTATTTACATATGTGAACGCTGTGATTGGCTATCACAGCAATCACAAAGTGCAGAGATGTTTAACTCTGATGATGGCTCTGTTTACAGCATCCAGGGCTATTCCTGGAGTTCCGTTTATAAATGGCACTCCAGCAATAGACACCCACCTCTCCCCTCCGCTGTTTTTTTACAATATGGCAATAGGGAGGTGGTTAAGGGTGTTGGTTTCCTGGTTGTCATGGCGATTCTTTGGCCTCCAATGCTGTCTGAGTAGCTGACCATTAACAAGTACGGACATAAGGAATTCTGACACGTTTGATTGACACAGCATTCTTTTTCTGGGTCTGACGCAGGAATATTAAAGCCAGCAAGGCATCTACTATCTGCAGAAGGAGGCCAACAAGAACAGCTACGATACGTCTCCCACATCCACTAGACAGCTGAGGAACATAGCATATAAATACCCCAACTCCATCTAGTGGCCAAAATGCAATATTAAATTACTTTAATATATCAAAAAGCATTAATTTTTGTGTCTGTTCGCACAGAATGAATGTTCAGAACGATTCGTATAGTGAATGGCTCTGCGTATTGGTTATAAATAGACCCCGTAGTTTATACAGATTTTAGAAACTAATTTGACATAACCTACCTCAGTATATGCAGAAGCAGATACGAATCATCAATAAATCTGCAGTACCCATGCATATTCCCCGCAAAGTATAGAATTATCTGCAGACTTTTTCTTAACAGAACACAGTCTCCCTTTAAGTGTTGTTTTGAATCCTCTTTTACAGTTTAAGGAGATGATATCGTTGGATGTAGCTGAAAGTTCTCAAGTTTATTCTGCATTTCTAGTATACATAGATCTTTTAGAAGGTAAGTGAAAGCATAATTCTACATTTTGATCAAGACATATTGCAGATTTATAGGCACTGTAACATACTGTACATGTATCAACTGATTTCTAGCATTTTTCCTAAATCATACCTGTTAGTTTCTATACTGTAAATGTTTATTTAACCGCTTTAGGACCATAGGATGTACCTGCTGTAGCCATTATCTTGATGTCATTTTTGTCAACAGGCAGAGGGCTTTCGCGTACAAGTGATCCCGGTGGCTATACAGCTGCATAATCACGTGTACCTGCCCCTGAAGGTACCACTCGCCCACTGTGGTTTTCAGGCTCCTCTGGGGGACCCAGGATCAAGACTAACAGTGTCAGGATGGAGAGTGGGAGCAGACTAAGGAACACCTGTTCCTGAATCTGCTCTGTGATCAGTAAAGCAGGAAGCACTGTGCTCTTAGTGCTTCAGAGCTGTCAGAAGCTGGTTGAAGTGCTGGTTACACAGGCGATCAAGCACATTCATTCGGTTTTTCAGTATTGGGTATATTTCGGCACTCCCCGATACCAAATACCGATACCTGTACTTCTGGGAGCATGGGGTCGGACCCGCCACCCAGCTTCCTGATTGCCCGGGAAGCCGGCTCCAAGGTTTTTGACTGGCTCAATGCTGATTGGCAGGTAGCCGGCTTCCCAGCCAAACAGGTAGCCGGGAGACGGGTCATTACCTGCCGCCCATTTTCATGATTGGCCAGGATGCTGTTTGGCCAGCTCAATGCTGATTGATCAGGAAGCCGTCTTTTGCATGGAGCCAGCTTTGCGGCCATTACCAGCTGCCTGGCTTCCTGATTGGCCATGAAGCAGGCACCATGCTGTTTGGACGGCTCAATGCCAATCAGGTCAACGCCTGGCTTCCTGATCGGCCGAGAAGTCGGCTTCAAATTCCCTCGCGGCACTGCCGGTCTGAGGCTGTATCAGAGCATTTGGCCGAGTACGAGATATTAGTATCAGTATTGGTGCTTCCCTAATTATAATAAAATATAACATTCAGAAATAAACAAAATTTACATTCTACTCCTTTTTACAAGGTTATATCAGATACATTATAGAAAAGAGTTTTAACTTGTACATCTTACTTGTGTCCTTGTCCAGGTTTAGTAAGAGAAGTAAGCCAGACCTTTTTTTTTATTTACTTCCTTTTTTGGTCACAGGACTACATTTACTAGTGTACTGCAACCCAAAGTCAGCCAATAGCGCCCACTATCGTCTGACAGGGCACAGCCGGGTTGTGGTTGGCAAGAATTATGACAATACTGTCGGGATCTTCCTTGCTGCCTAAATTACACCTAGCTATCCCTCTCTGCACATGGCCAAGAGCCAGAACCATCTGCACCTGTCTCTCCATTGTCTGTAGCTCCAGTCTGTGCTGAAGGGACAGAGAGTTGACGGGAAAGATTCCTGGGAAGGGGGGGTGCCAGTGACTGACATTTGCTACCTTCCACTGGGAGCAGAGAACGAAAGCTGCTGAGCAGTCACGTAAATGTTCAGCTCTCAGTCTTAGAGCCGACATGGGACAGCTAAAGCATTGGGGTGAAAATGAAAGTGTTATATTCTATGCACCTCAAACTTCTCCTTTGATCTCCAGTCAGTATTGAAAATCTGCTAATTGCTTTCTTCTTGCACAGCACACATTACCTCCTCATTTACTCGAGGGGAAAGGAATGCTAAGCTTATTTCTTGCTCCCCTGGCATCTAATGCACTGTCCGCTGTCCACCGTGGACGGGCCCTCAGTGTACTGGCTGGGAATGCATTGTATGAGATAACATCAGAGAGGGTGCGACCAGACAAGCGCTTTGTGGGAATGGTTATATGGTGGGAAGCAAAAAAAAAGGTGATTATTTCTCCTTACTCTTTACCCCCTGGACTAAATGAGCAGTTAACCCTTTGTTGTGCAAGGGGACAGCAACTGATTGGGAGATTTTGAATGCTGACTGGAATTAAGTTTTAAACTACTTGATTGTGATGGTAAATTGAGCAAAAAAGTTCCCATAATGAAAGAATCTTTTGTTTTCTCAGTGAGAAATTGGCACGACTTACAGATTTTGGGCTCGACTGAACTTCATCTAGTCTACCTGCGCGGACAGGAGAAAGCTGACCTTATGCCTCAGGTCATAATCCCCACACCAGTCACCATGGCATGCAGTTATGAGAGGTATGTGATCGGATCGCATCTTTGAAGCCTTTTCATATGTTCGTATAAAGTGTTTTGATTCTATGATATGCAGTTTTCTCAATTCCACACATTCAAACTAACAAAGTAAGGTATCTTGTGGTGCTAAGTTTGAGAAACAAAGCCGTGTGTTCAAACATATGCTGTTTAACAGTGTTATACATTTGAATGATTTATTACCCAGAGGCTTTTTAAAACATTGTTTAGGATTAAGTAGCACCATCATGTTGAAGGTTACCAGATAACCAGAAGGAAAATCTACAAAGGTCCAAAAACAGAAAAAGGGCACCTTTGTGTGCATGTGTTTGGAATATAAATGATTTAATGCGTGCACATGTGAAGATAAGACATATACTTTTTGCTTTATCTGTGTATCTTTTCCTGCAGTGCTGTGGGTTTTACTAAGTTTACAGGGCTTTGGGGAAGATCATTAAATAAATTGCACAGTTCTTTATTCTGCCAGCTCAGAACACAATAACTAGAACTAGCTCCTGGGGGAGTCCATTCCACATTTTCACAGCTCTAACTGTGAAGAATACTTTCTTTATGCAAAGGTTAAACCTCTTTTCCTCCAGACGCAAAGAGTGCCCCCTTGTCCTTTGTAGTGACCTTAAAGTGAATAATTTGGCACCCAGCTCTTTATATGGACCATTTATGTATTTATGCATGGTGATCATGTCCCCCCTTAATCGCCTCTTCTCCAGAGAGAACAAATTCAGGTCAGTCAATCTTCCCTCATAGCAGAGCTCCTCCATGCCCCTTATGAGTTTAGTTTAGGCAGTGATTTCAGCAAATAATGTGGAATTGTTCAAGAAACTTTTGGACGATTTCTTAAGGGACCGTAATATACAGGGGTACGGGTACTCCTAGAATGAGATCCTAATAGGTTGGACTTGATGGACTAATGTCTTTATTCAACCTCAAATACTATGTAACTATGTAACTATACCCCTTTTAATACAAGAAAGTATTTTGCTTGCTTTCGAAAATGCAGCTTGACATTGCATGGTATTATTGAGTCTATGGTCTACCAGAACACCCAGATCTTTCTCCATCATTGACTTCCCCAAACATACTCCCCCTAGAGTGTAAGACGCATGCATGTTTTTACTCCCCAAGTGCATAACTTTACATTTATCAACATTAAACCTCATTTGCCAAATTGATGCCCATTCATACAGTGCATTCAGATCTGCTTGTAGGTTGGAGACATCCTGTAAGGACTGTATTCCACTACATAACTTGGTGTCGTCTGCAGACACAGAAATAGTACTTTTAATCCCCAACTCTATGTCATTTATAAATAGGTTAAACTGTAAGGGGCCCAACACTGAACCTTGGGGAACACCACTAACAACCTCAGACCATTCAGAGTATGAACCATTGATCACCACTCTCTCAATACGGTCTTTAAGCCAGTTTTCTATCTAATTACAGATTGAATACTCTATACCTACGGACCTTAACTTATACATCAGCCGCATGTGGGGAACTGTGTCAACCGCTTTTGCAAAGTCCAAGTATACTATAGCCACAGGCATTCCTCTGTCCAATTTGTTACTCACTTCCTCATAAAAAGAAAGTAGATTTGTTTGACAACTTCTGTCTTTTGTGAATCCGTGCCGACTATCACTGATGATATTATTTTCAAGTAAAAACAAGTGCATGTGATCCTTGATCAAACTTTCAAGTATCTTCCCAACTATTGAAGTTAAGTTTACAGGTCTGTAATTACTTGTAATCCTGTGGTGCAGATATAATGAGGCAAGAGGGTACCAGGATGTAGTGGAGGAACCGGCCGTGGCCAATAACTTGTGGGTAGTAAGGTACAAGACAGCAGACAGAAGCCTAGTCAAGAAACAAGCAGTGGTTGATAACTTGTGGGCAGTGAGGTACAAGACCGCAGGCAGAAGCATAGTCAAAGAACAGGCTGTGGTTGCAGGAATACAGAGTAGCAGTCTGGAGGTCAAGCCTAGCCGGATTGTTAATGGAAGGTCAGAATCGGGATACAAGAACTCGGGTGCACAGAATAGCTAAAGGTCACTCAGCATCAGAGGCTTAGACATCTTAGCCGAAATAGCCCGTTTGGTGCCAAAGTTTGTAAAGCACGAGCACACCGTGAGCCGCACATACAGATACACATGTACCTACACAAAGAAACATGGCCACACACGATTCAGTAAGCCAAACCATGCACGCATGCATGTGCAAGTGTTCGCGCAGGACTTCAGGGATAAGGACTGGCATTGGCTTCCTGACAGTGCCACACTATAAGACATTTGTCTGAATTGAGCCATAAATGAAAAAATATTAAAGGAGAACTATGAGGTGAGTGCTTTTCACTCACCTCATAGTTCTAGCCGACCTGTGACAATGAGACTGTCACAGGTCGGCTTAGTAGATCGGGAGGTGAGCGAACACATACAGGCATTCACTCACCTCTCGATCCTGTCACGGCTAGGCTGGATTCCCCACGCTCCGATCCGCTTCGCTGACTGGCGGAACGGACGGGGGAGGGGGGTGAGTAAAGCTGGCTCTGCCGCTAGATAGGTAGAGCCAGCTGTCAGCCACTCAGCTGTGCGGATCCAGACATAATTGTCGGGATACGCTTCAGCTGCGGCGTCTCAGTATACCGCGAGCTGTAGCTCGTGGTATACTGAGCCTAGGGTGACGGGAGGACGCTAGTTTGTGTCCTCCCGTTACCGTAAGGAGAACTATGGGGAAAAGCCTTAACCCCATAGTTCTCCTTTAACTCCACATGCCCATTGTCCACTACTGTTTTCCTTAGGAGTGAATGTAACTGCTCATTGTAACCTAGATGGAAATTGTGTTACCTTCTGTGCAGTGCCTCAAACATCAGGGTCTGTTCCACTCTAGGTTCTTCACTGTATGTTATATACTGCATACCGATAATTATCATTTAATCATATTATATGTCATATCATTAGAGCTGCAGCTAACGATTATTTTTAAAATCGGTGACAACTTTTTCAAAAATCGATTATGTCGATTAGTTGTTGCAGCCCTACATACCATATGATTGGACAATATTTACTTATACCGCTGTTACTTTAGATTCCATCCCGTTCGATAGGGAATTATTTTGCTAGTGTGTGTTTTGTATGTATGTGTGCATACATATGTATTTTATAATAGAACAAAACAATTGACCTAAAACAATTATACTTTGCTTTTCAAGTGGTTGAGGGTTGCAAAATGTCTGTGTCAGTAAATAAAATTAGCTTTTGAATGAGACAAAGAGTAAAACAGAAAAAAAACAACAACAACAACGTGAAATGTGCTTAACACGTGGAGTCTCGGATAATACTGGCTACACTAAAAAAATCTGTACTGGATAAAAATGATTCCTAATCTTCCGAGCTCCTTTTCCCTCTCTGTAGTGTACCTTAAATTAGTGACATGTTTCAACATTCAACAACCCATTTAAGGTTGAGATTACTTTTTGTAGTACTTTCCTGTTCTATATTATTTTCAGTTTCTGGAGTATAGTTACTTCAATTACTTAGGGTCAGCTACAAAGAGGGAAAATGAGCAAGGACGATTAGAATGTAATTTTATAAAGAGTAAAAGTGACTTTACAACATTGTGCTACGGTAGCAGTGAATAAATCAACTATTGGAATCTGCCTCCAGGGTGCTTTGAACCATACTACACAAGAGCACAACTCGTATATCTCAATAGACTGTCATTATAGTGCTGTCTATGTTGTACAGCCCTAATAAATGTACTATCAATGATATCCAGCATTTTGTTGTTTGGTGGCTACATAATGCTGCCATTCTTTGCTGCTACTAGTGTAAGTCATTTCTTTACATTGCTCCCCTAATACTAATTCTGCATTCTTTAATGTTTAGGCATGCATTTTAGGTGAGCTGTAAATGAAAAGTTGTGTTTATTCAGGTGTATCCAGTTTGCGCAGTTTAAATGTTTGTTGCTATCATTTTTAATTTGTATTAAATGCATAAAAGCTCACTATTCATATTGCTAAATTTTAGAACAGTCATACATTTTTTTAATGATGCTATTCCTTATCATTGGTAGATTTAGTCTCCAGCCTAAAATAATTGGTGCTTCACATTTAACAGACTGTCATTTGTGTGAATTTTTAGCTTGGGAGGTGAAAAAACAATGGCACATTGTAAAGGCAGATGCCTTGTAGTACCTAAATTTGATTCCCAACAAGACCCAGACTGTATGGGATTGTTAAATGTTCTCTGTATTTGTGAGAGGTTCTTTCTGCCTAACCCCACAGGAACAGAGTATCCATCTGTATACAGTTCTCAGTGTGTCAATGGTGGCTGGTGATGTTAGTGAAGCTACATAGAAGCATGTTAATGTTGGACTATGGATGGTAACTTAAAGTGACACTAAACTCAGAAGTTAAATCTTTAAAATGCATTCAAGTACTTTAACTAATAAGGGATAATATTATTACTTTAACTAATAACAAAAATGTAGTTTTTGTGTGTATCACTGGGCTGTAGATCCCTAAATCATCTCTGAATTGGTGCTGACACTGTCCTTCCTTCTGGAGGGTGGCTACTTTTGTTCCCCATGATCCCTGTGTGTGTGTGTTGAAAACTCCCGTGATTGCTGACAATCTCAATACAAATGTATAAAACTAAACATGAGATTATAGTACATCACAGGAGCAAACTTGGTGGCTACGTTACAACACAAGCAGGGACCATGGGAACAAAAGTAGCCACCCTCTAGAAGGAAGGACAGTATCAGCACCAATTCAGTGATAAGTTGAAAGCAAAAAGCAGTGTGATGGCAAAATTGCATCCCTAAACTGCAAAATCTTAGTGAGCGCAACATATTTCTGAGATTGAAAGAACTTGTTGTCGTCGTCTCCTCCTAGAGGTGTCAGTAAACGGCCCGTTTCTTGCTCTGAGCATTACTCTCTACAGAATGTTGTGTGGTACATAAGGAAAAGCAAAAATTGTGGATAACATGTC